TATATATGTGTATATGTATATATATGTATATGTGTATATGTATATGTGTATATGTATATGTGTATATGTATATGTATATATGTATATGTGTATATGTATATGTATATATGTATATGTGTATATGTATATGTATATATGTATATGTGTATATATATATGTATATATGTATGTGTCTTTTTTAAGATTAATTGGACTGAAAATATTATAATTAAGTATAATGAAAATGTTTCTTGAACAACAGCGAATACTGGCTGACTAGATTAAAAAGAAAAATAAAAGGTGGTCCATATGAGACACTTCTGCTAACCAGCAGTAAAGTTCTAACTAATAGTCGTTTAACAATTCATTGATACATTCTTTTCTTGATTAGTTGATGTTTGGCCTATAAAGTACAAGGACATGGGGAATGTCTGTCCTCATGTTTAAGGTGGAAATCCTCAAATTCCTTTTGTTGTCTGATCTAACACACAAACACCCAAACATTCTGATAATTTCAAAGGCTGAAACTATTCAATATTTGTCCTTTGGCTTCAAGAACAACTTAAAGATCCACTCACACAAATTGTAAAAAAGTTTAATTGAAAATGCTTTTTCCCCTATGTTCTGTCTTGTGTGTGTGTGTGTGTATGTATACCGTTACAGTGCTAGATACTCATTTAAAGTATTTCAAAGACTTCTTCAAACTTCAAAATTGTTCTTGACTAGTTTCATATGTCGGTTACAGTTGATGTACTTAAAATGGTCATGTCAACAACCCCAACCATGTGCTGTGTAGACCTCCTGTTTACAAGACGCAGGCATTTTAGACTAAAGTTAGCTGAAAGCGAGAAGGAAAGGTAGCTGCAAAAAGGCACCAGTGTAAGACAAAGGTTATTTTAAACTGAATCATACAAACCAATTTCAGTAGAGCTCAATAATAAAACCGTGGAGCCAGAAATAAGTTTATAGGTCTCCTTTTAACTGCTTAAAGCCATGTAATTAAATTAAAATGAATAAAGAAATGCAGTGTTCAACTCAGAAGTCATCAAGAAGATCAATTTATGTGCACCAGGCTTCTTGAGTTTTGCTGTCACACATGCTGAATGGCATGCATGGACATGTGTTAGACCCAAGTATGATTGAGCAGGGAAAATTTCCATACCAAACCTATGGTTCCTCATTTCTTAAGGTGCATCAATAATTGACAGAAAAGGAAGAAACTTCAGAGGAGCAGAAAAATAAAAACAATTTGAGAAACAGAAAGAGGAAAGAACTGAGGGAATATTATGGAAATCCAAAGGGTCTCATTTTGTGGTGTTGCTGATTGAACGATAAAACTGAAAATGACATTATGTAGGTAGATTGCAACTCGGTGTTTCTCTTTGTTACAATGTATAATGTTGTTACAATGCACCACTTGAAACGACACCACACAGTGTAATATCCTTGCAGTGCCATGAAAACCCTGCTTCTAAAAGTGTGTTCTTGTTACCAACTTATATTAATCATGTCTTTAGCTTTACTTAACATAGAGTCGCAATTCAGCAACTCACTTTTTTAAATTGTTTTTCTGAACTTCATAGGTGAGAATGGCTTGAATTCTTTTCAAAGGTCGGGGTCAGCTGTGGTTTCCATAGTTTGTAAGGATTCAGTGTCTCATTTGAAATCAGTTCATTTGGATGGCCTCCTAATTGTTATTCCTGATTTCCCATCTTGCTGAGGAATTCCTCAAACAACAACTCCAGATTTCTGCTGCAATAATGCAAAGTGTTGTTTTTATTCCAGCATGAGGAGAAACTGTAACTCTATTCTCATGTCTGTAAAAGTCATCTGCTCTGATTGACACTGTGTCTGTCTTCAGCGTGTCCGCTTTGGCCAAGACAGTGTGGCATTGTGTGTGCGTGTTTTTGCGTGTGTGTGCGTGCGTGCATGCGCTGTATAGTGTGAGGAGATAATGGAATAGAGTTCTAATCCGGTAATCCCAGCACTGGGCCGAGGCTAAGCCAGGGATTTGTGTGTATGTGTGAGTGTGTATGTGTGTGTTTGGATGGGCGGGGGGCATCTTTGGCAGCCAGCCCATAATAGGAGGGTGGATGGGCTCATACCCTCCTTCCAGTTAACCCTGTGTATAAATGTAGATGGGTGAACTGCATGTCTGCTCCTAGCAGCGATAAAGCAAAGGAGATGGGACTGGTTTAATTTTGGCTCTTGTCCCCCGAGGCTGGTCTCTGAGCACAGGTCCTTTTCTACTGGTTTCAAAAGAACGAGCCAGTTAGAGGCACTGAAGAAAAAGGCATTTCACCTTACGTTAAAACAGTTTCTTACTCTTTTGAGGATTGCAGGAGTGTATGCCAGCGTTTAAGGAACATTATTACACTTCTGTCCGCTGGGTGCAGAGACACAGATGAGGTCTGGCTAGTTTTTGGATGTGGGTTATAAAAGTACTACAGGGGTTATAATATAGTTGATTTGTTTGTGTATTTTTTTTTCAATAGAAAATTACCTGTAATATTCATAGATCTCTTTGTATAGGTTTTTAATTCATGCTTAAATAGCTTTATAAATTTCAAACACATCTTTAAAGTGATGTGTTTAATGTGGCAATATTTAGCTGAAGTGCAGTAAACATGAGAAAAACAAGCCAAGGCAAACACTATGTATATGTATGTATAATTTAATCAGGGCTTGTCAATAAGACCAAGACCAGGGATTCTTGTCATGGGCTGTGTTGTATTACTTGGTAATCTTCTATTAAGTGAATTTTTGTCATTCAGCTTTCAGCAACATCTTTTAACTTTTTGCAAGTATTTGCTTACTAGGTAATTTAGCACTGCTAGCTTGATCACTTATGTTAATGAGTGATAGTATAAAGTGTTTCATAAATGAGTATTTCTGCTAAATTGTTTTTTTAATGGATTTATTTGAATTTATGTTTTGAATGAGCTTAGGGATGGATTCATCTGGGACGAGGGGTCACGAGTGCTCATTGCTTGGCTATAGAGGCCCTTGAGTTTTATTTATTTATTTAATTAATTTTTCTGCTTTTGAGGCTTCTTCAGGAAGCTCTTCTGCCCTTTTCTGTTACCTTCTCAAACTCCTTCCCCGTCTTCTTCTCATACACTCTGTGCAGCTCTGTCCAATCACGTCATATTTTTGCAGCGTTGAGTGCCTCTGTAACACCCCCACATCCACATCTATCTTCTGTCCCCATTCATTCCAAAAACCTTTTTTAAACTTCTCTTCCTTGTTAACTATACCTCTTACTCTTTCTTAGATCTAACAAACCAGTCCACCCCCCCCCCCTCACTTCGCTTATCACTCGCTCCGTCTCTGAGTCTCCTCCTCTTGTTGCACCCACCACCCCCACCCTTACAACCCCCTTTCTCGAGACAAGATTGATTGGCTAATCTAGCTGTTTACCCACAATGCCTACTAGCACTGAAGAGAAGAGGGCAGTGTTGATAGTATAAAGACACAACCGAGAGACAATTGAGGTATTTGAAAATGGAGTTCAGTGAACATACCAAATGGATAGAGAAGGAAATTAAAGATAGAGCTGCTTTTCTTATTATTTTAAATAGAGCAACTGTAATTTCCAACTATGTGTAAATCAATAACACTATAAAAAAAACTACAGGAAATTTGAAAACAGCA